TCTCTCTTGTACCTTGAAAGAAAGTGCAAATCACTGTGCCTCTCTTTTACAACTCTGACAGATATCTGCCTTTAAAACAAATAACCAATAACAGAATCCATGTGGCTTATAAATAAATGCATTTTCAAGTACAAATTGACAACTGAATCTTAAATGAAATATAAGCCATAAAAACTTCATATGCATATATATACATATATAGACAATAGTCAAGTGGCTTTACGGTCATGATTTGTAACTGAAGCTCGCCCTCTGCTGGGAGGAGCCAGCTTTCCACACTCCTATCATTTTCCTAGACATTAAACTGAATCAACCTCACAGTTGCAAGTGTAGGCTCCTATTCTGATACAATTGCTAGGTTTATTTGTTTAATGACTTTGTAGTCACTGAAGTCATAAACACATAGCTCATCTTTGATCTCTCTGGAGCAGGGATGGGTGTTAGTGGGTAATGTACCCAGTTCTACCAAGTAGAAAGTTAGAGAAATACATATACACATCTAATTTTTTGATATCCAAATCCTACCAACTGAGCATCATTGCATGGGCTCCTACTTTAATAATTTGTTTAAAAATGTAAGTGCCTTTCAGAAATACGTCCAAGGGACAGATAGTGAGATACTTGTACAGTGTGCACAGTGTCTGCATTCTAAGAGAAAAAAAATGACTATACTGAATCAGAAGAAAACACCAGTACTCATGTTTCCTACAATTCCTTGTGGGTATAGCCCCAAGGTGTTGCCATTACGTATTTTTTGAATTTGGAGTTTCTAAAAAATATAGTTCCTGAACCATAAAATAATTTATATAAAGTAAACATCTGTTGCCCAATTTTATAAGTATCCAAACATTTACTTCATTTATTTAAAATATAAAACAAACACTTTAAAATATCTAACTCTCAATTGAGGAGACAGCTCATCGGGTAAAGTACTTATCTCACAAACTTGGGGACCTGAGTCTAGATCCCCAGGACCCATGTAAAGGCAGGTTCAATAGCATACACCTATAATCCCGGTGGTCCTGGGATAGGGGAGTAGAGACAGGAGATACCCTGAAACTCAAGGACCAACAACACTGGCATCAAAGAACAAAAAGACCCTCATACGCATGAACACATACATCCAAAAAATATTTTACAGTACTTAGTTCCAAGATGTTTTTAAAGGGACAGTACTACTTTTCATGTTCATGTCTTTTGTGTAGACAGCATACTTAGACAGCAAGAACATCTCATTAGATTCTAGTGATGGGAAAGGCTAGCTCACTGTGAACACAATCACATGAACTGACAAAGAGACAGAGGAAGATTATTTCCTGAAAGAATAATATTACTTTTTATTTTTATGCTTTTAACATTTATTAATTTGTCTATTGACTGGTTCATTTATTTACTGTGTGTGGATGTGTGGCGGTCAGAGAACTTTCAGAGACTAAGGAATCCAGTGTTGATCTCTAGCCTCCACATGGGTGTACGCATCCTATCTAGCGCAAATACACGTAAGACTCTGAAGAGTAGTCAAGTTCTATGGGAGGAAGAATCTTCTTCAGTGAACTGACAAAGCTCAGCCCTCATTCCCAGCTCTGAGTCTAGAAAGAAGGCTGGGCTGGGTCCAAGCAGGGGATACTCTACCACTAGTAGAAAGAAAACCAGCCAGCTTCATGACTGTTTGCTCAATAACAAGTATGTTTGGGTCTAGGGTGTTCATGAAGGAAGCTGGGAGCCAGCTGGCACAACTCTAAGAGATATTTACAGGAACAAGGGAGGAATCCTGCAGCATAGTATCAACCCAGCTTCATCAGCCTATATCAAGGTCAGCTCTTCCCTCCGGGGCGAGGAAAGGAGGGCTTCCTCTGCTGAGGAATGCATTGTGGAGAATGTCTACTGCTCTCCTTTACTCAATAGCCAACAAAACAAATCATTAAATATGTAGAGGTGAGGAAATCTGATAATCACCAGAAGAAGAGAAACAACAGACAACAGACCCCAAAATGATCCAGATAGTGAGGGAACCTGTGTTTCTTCTTGTTTTGCTTTAGACAGGCTCTCTTACTAAGTGTCTTGAACTCGACATGTGGCCCAGCCTGGCCTCAAAGCAAGCCTCTTGTCCTAGCTGCCAGAGTACTGGGATTATAGACATGTGTCACCAGCTTTCCAGATAGTGATTTCTACAAAACAGTCATTAACATGTAGAAAACAGGAGATTATAGCAGAATAGATGAGTAAATATCTTCATAACTTAAAAACAAGGAATGATTAAGAGGATAGATGGGCATTCCAGAACTGAAAAACCATTGTGTACAGTTAAGATTTCACTTTCAACAGATGGGATGAGACGCAACAGAAAGCAAAATTAGTAAAGTTAGCAATCCACTAAACCAGTTAATGGAAAATATCCAAAAGAGCATCCAGAAGGCAAAAAAGAGTTAACAGGACAAAGCTAAAACAAAGAACAAGGGTAAAATTTTATTATATTCATGATTGGATTCCTACAAGAGAAAATAATTGGGTAAAAATAATAGATTTAAACAGCTGGTTCCAAAACTAATGAAAATTAAATATCAATCAGCAGATTCAATAAGCTGATCTACTGATCAGGCAAGTGGTGTTGTTTTGGTTTGGTGTTGAGGTTTTGTTTTGTCTGTTTTTTTCTTTTGTTCTGTTTTTTATTTTTGAGTTTTACCATTTGTATGCCTGGGCTCAAGCAAGCCTCAGCCTCAGTTTCCCTGGCAAGTAAAAACTACACCTACCACTGGCATGGGTAGGCTTTTGGTTTGGGTTTTTCCTTAAACAGAATGTACACAAGTTTGTAGGGAAACAACATTGTGGATGAGCAACTAGGTTTACTTAGAACACACCAGCAGTGTTCAGAAGAGATCAAACATGCATAGATGTCCGCAAGAAAATATTATGTGCTACACATATTTGCAGATGGCTTTCACAAGAGCAAAAGTCTCAGAGATTTGAATCAGATCGACATGTAAATACAGAGAGACCTGGCAGAATGGAAGTTACCTTAATGGTGACCTTAATGGCCCCTGAGGGAAAATGAATGAGTGTGCTCAAGACCTCTCTTGCACCTGCTGTTAATGTGTGAACAGAGGTGACTGAAGAGCTCCTCTGGATAAAATCATGGGCAAAACTATCCTAAAAGGAAGAGCTGTGCCCAATTACCCTGGAAGTTGAATGGTACTCTTCTCTCTCCCCTAGAACTCCCTCACTCTCCCCATTATGGCATGCGGTCGGAACTCCCACTGCATCACCACACAACACACAGCAACTACTTACAGACAAAAGGGAGTCACCAGCCACTATCCAGATCCCTACCCTGGAGATTGAAATCTGGTTTTCAGTACCATAGTGTCCTCATGAGGCAGGGCAGAATGAGGGGATTATGGTGACTGGAGACAGAGGGTAGAGGAGGAAACCCTGTCCTTTCACTGCTCAAAAAGGACTTACATCTACTGACACGAACTTAATGGACAGTAACAAAACTGTACTCACTCAGGACCAGTTACTATATCCCCAGACACTTCAATCAAGGATGGCAAGGCCAGTAATTAGACTGTCCTGACATAAGGACAAAATGACACATAACCTTGAATTCCTGGCCTCCCCACTCCCAGAACTAAATGAAGCTGCTCATAAATCTACTATACAACTTTAGTTACTGAGAGAAAAAGAAACTTCAGTTTGTAATCTAACCTTGTTATGAACTATTCTCTTTGGGTGATGTTAGTGAAAGGGGAATGTTAATCCTGCCAGAGACTAGATGTCCCAAGTTGAGGTGGTACCCAAGGAGGGCTTCCCCTTCTCGATAAGGGGAGGAGGTGATGGGGGAGGGATTTGTAAGGATGGGACTGGGAGGAGAGGAGGGGGGTGGCCTACCATCGGGATGTAAAGTGAGTAAGTAAATTAATAAAGAAAAAGAAAAGGGTTAGTGGCTTCTTGGCAACATTTGGAAATGTAACCTTGAGAGCCATAAGAAAAAAAATATACCTATGTCTGCATTGTGAAGACACTTAAGTTCGACTTTCTCTTCAGAAGCCCACAGTTGTCTGATAAGGTGTGTTCTACTCTCTCTAATGGAGCACTTTTGTTTCTGCGTTTAATGAAACCAGCTTTGCTTCATATCAGCTGGCCCCAAAATTCATTTCCTTGTTGAAACCAAGACCTCAGGTTTTGCCCGGGTCTCTAAAAGGGTGTATTGTGAAGCTGTGTCCAGAGGCAGGTGACCCTTCTTCCCTCCTGCTAACAGCGAGATGAGGCAATGCTTAGTCCCAGAACCCCTGAACTATTTTGTCTTCAAGTGGCTCACCACTCACTTCTTGCTCAAGACGTAACATAGGTAAGGAGTTGACACTTGGGGTTTTCAACCCGGGCCATGTGCTCTTCCCCCTGGAGATTGTCACTTCCCCCCTCCTCTTTCTTTGTCACCCTTACCCCTGATTTAGCCACCGTCACCCCTCGGCCTTCTCTAACCTACCCCTCTTTCTCTAGTTACCCTGAATTGACTTCAGCCTCCCCCATCCTGCTCCTTCCTAATTCCAGCTCCAGGAATCTCCTTGCCTCTCCAGGTCTCTCCCCACGCCCTCTGTGTGTTAGAGGCTATGTGGCTCCAGTACCTCACATATTTGTGGAATGTACTTGTCCCTGAAGTAGCTCCTTAGCCTGGGGGTGGCACTGCGTAGTGAAGCCATGGTCAGAAGCAGAACTGAGAAACTGCGTTTTGTAGGTTACTGCAGTCCACGCTGCAGAGGAGGGACGCGTCGGGGTATTACCCGGCAACCATGGAGCCAAACAGTCTCAGCCAATCGGGAGATAGAAGGAAGAACCTGGTGGGGAGGGGCGGGGCAGAGCGGGAAGGGGCGGGGCAGAACAGGACCGGCCGGGGGCGGGGTAAAATGAGAGGGCGGGGCATAGTTGGGCTGAAGAGTGTTGGGGCGGAGCTAGGGGCGGGACTCACGGGGGGCGGTCCAGGTCTTGGTCTAGGAAAAAGCTTCAAGCAGCAGGGGCGTCCGGCTTGCCTGGTGAAAGGCACCGCAGCACGCAGGGTAGGGGGGCTTCCGATTTCAGCAGGGCGACTTCCGGAAGGCGGAGCTCCAACCCCATTTTCTTTCTCTAGGCTGGTTCTGGCCCAGCTGCATCTGCATGTGGTCCTGGCTTCCTGGCTCCCTGCTTTTCGGTAGCAGCAGCATGGGTGGCGCGCGGGACGTGGGCTGGGTGACAGCAGGGCTGGTCCTGGGCGCCAGCGCCTGCTACTATATCTACCGGCTGACTCGAGGACCGCGGCGAGGCGGGGGCCAGCCGCGTCCTTCGCGGTCTGCAGGTGAGGCGATGGGCTGCCCGGCACGGACTAGTTTGGGGTTCCGGAACCACCTCAGGCCAGGCTAGGTCGGAGGTGCCGTAGACACTCGCGACTGCATGAGGAGGAAGGCTGGAGGTAGACGAGTCTGAAAGCCTAGGTTGCCTTGGGTGGGTCCTGAGTCGCTTCCCTGCTCCCACTTCTTTGTTTAAAATAAGGGCTGAAAACATTGCCCAAGGTGTTCTGTTACTTCCCTCCGGCTTCACAGCCGAGAGCTGAGGTTTTTCCGAGCCAAGATGGTTGCCTCTCATTTTTATGTTTGACCTGAGCCTTTGTGTTGTTACAAGAGATTCCCCTTACTGTAAGAAGGTTCTTAGGGGCCTTCTCGTAGTTATTTGGAGAAGGGATTCCTGAGGTGCAATTCTGCCAGCATTTGTCATCCGTAGCATCCCTGCAACCTGAGTGTGTGTGTTGGAAATATGAATCTCAGCCTACAGAAGACACACCCTTCTAAAAGGGTCGTTTAAGTCATGAAAACTGTTGGGGAAACTATTTGAAGTTAAATCTGCTGACCAAAACTTGCCCTTCTCAAAGGTAGAGAAATGTATTTTGTTTTTAAATTGAGTAATTATTAAAACATTTTACTGACACCACATCCCTGTGTACCTGGGTCTATGCAAAATAAATAGTAGTTTGTCCGTAAAACAAGAGGACTCGACAATATCATTTTCTTCGCTGAGAGTTAAGGCAGCTATTGGTGGGAGCTAATTGCCTTTCCCAAGAACAAAAATAAGGCACCATTAAACGCAGATAGAAAACATGTCTTTGGGTTGTACAACTGGCAGTTACTTTTCAAAATTTGCACTTACTAGAAGGGACCAGGAACAACTGGATTTATACTCCAGCCCTCCATTTCCTTCAGGAAATGCAGTAAAAAAAAGGTTGTGCACAAAACCTTTGCCTTTGGTCACAGAGGAAAGCAGTTTTTGAAAATGAGCATTTGCCCTGTTTACAAAGCCTGATTTGTAGGGTTTTTGTTTGTTTGTTTAGTTGGTTTTTTGGTTGGTTGTTTGCTTGTTTTCCCTCTGTCAAATATTTCTATACAAGAATACTTGGGTGGTTTATTTCTTGGTGGTGGTGGTGGTGGTGGTGGTGGTGATAGTGGGTTTTTGTTGGTTTTGCTTTTTTTTAAGGCAGAAGATCTGATGTATCCCTGGCCTGGAACTCAGTGCATAGCAGAAAACTCGAACTTCTGATCCTCCTGTCTCCATCTCCTTGGTTGCTGGGCCTGACAGCATGCACCAATACACTTTGGTACTGGGAAGGAAACCAGGGCCAGACAGCTTTAAAAATAGGCTGCCCACAGTCCCTTCCCAAAGTTCTATCCTTATATTTGCAAGAAATCTATTCTTGCCTTAAACTGTTGAGAAGTGTGTAATTCCTCTTGTGAAGGTTGTTGGTCCAGTAGAGGAAGGTGTTGCCCAACTCTAATTCTAGCACTACCAGGCTGAGGTAGGAAGATCAAGAATCAATGCCAATCTTGGCTAACCTATCTCCAAAAACAAGTCTCTTTGAGGCCATTGAAAAAAGATGGAAACAGTATCAAATCATTCAACTTGATATAAAAACCTGATCCATATAATATAAACTAATTCAATCATTACTAAAGAAAATCTATCAGGGAACTAATATACAGAGGCCAGATGGACATATATGGAGAATTGATAGAATTATATGTTATTTAATGCATTAGTATATTTTTAAAACTACATACTAGTGTATAAAAGTTATTAAAATGGTATTTCTGACAACTTGTAACATTAAGAATAGAAAGACATGTTCCTAAATTGATGGAGAACACTTATCAAATGTCAAAGGCAAAGATACTTTAGTTAAAGGTATTTAATGTTAAAACATTAATTGCATCTTTATTAAGTTCAAGAATAGGAGAGGTTCTATCACAGCTATTGAGCATTGTCCTGGAGTCCCAGGCATCTCAGCAAGAAAAAAAAGAATCATAAAACTTAAGTACAAAGGAAGCAAGATTATAGAAAAAGAAAGTTCTAATTTGTAAATGACTCATTTTGAGTCAGAAACATGCCAGAGAATTAACTGAATATTAGATATGGTAAGCTGGAATGCAACAGAAATACACTTAGTGGCTTCTTATATCTAAGCACTATGTACAAGAATTCAATATAAATTTAATTGAAAAGATTTCATTCGTAATAATTCCTAAAACTTGGACTATCATCTAGCAGGACGCCTGAATGTGGATAAGCAACACAGTGCCACACTGGAAACATGATTGAGCTGTTTCCATGGGTTTCCTGCCTTTTAGACTCTTAAAAGGATAATCGGTCCACCTCATCTACTTAGTACAAAAACCAATGCCATAGTTAATCAATGCTCTGTAAGCAAATGTCCAATCAGGTAAGTATACCTGATATTTAAAATAAGAGAAAAAATGCTGTCTGCATTAGGGATACATGCTATTGACATTCAGTGCCTAACTAACAGACATATATCATGTAGACCATTGGCTAATACTTGATGGCCATGGGCTGTCGTATCCTACATAAACTCAGAAGAATAGTAGTATCTTCCTTCTAGGGATGCCTGAGAATCAAATGATATAAAACATGTAGAGGTTGAAGAGATGGCTCAGTGGTTAAGAGCACTTCTCTTGACTGCTCTTCCAGAGGTCATGAGTTCAATTCCCAGCAACTACATGGTGGTTCACAACCGTCTGTAATGGGATCCAATGCCCTCTTCTGGTGTGTCAGATGACAGCTACAGAGTGCTCACATACATAAAATAAATAAATCTAAAAAAATGCATACACACACACACACCCACTGGGAAAGGGGACATCTAAAGTGCTTCAGTGCTAAGCAGCCATCTGTAGAGCTCTGACGTTGGCCTGCCTACTCAGAAAAGATTACTGTTTTCTTTATCCTTTCAGACCCTGGCCAAAAGGAAATCATAAGCAAGCTTTTGCACACACTGCACCTCCCCTGTCCTCAGTAGCTCCTTCTCCTCCCACAGGCCAGCCTCTGTTGCTGACACCATGTACGCTCTTAAAGCCATGACCTTCTTCCTCTAATCCCATCTCCCTCTTCCCAACAGATGCCAAGATTTATAGCTTGCCTGCCTTACGTTTTTTTTTCTCAAACATGCAAATTGTCCCTGAGCTTTACAAAACCAAACAACTGTACCTAGCATGAGAGTATATGTTTGAACATTTCACATATTAAAAACAAAACTGGTGATTTTTTAGTGAATTCTAAGTGACTTTCTTCTTATGCAGAAGACGAAACTGATGACTCCTGTGATGAAATCTTAAATGAGGATCAGCTTGCGAAACTTCTGTTCCTGCTGGAGTCAACCAACAATCTTGTAATTACTGAAAGAGCCTTGATCACCTTAGGAAATAATGCAGCCTTTTCCACTAACCAAGTAAGCCTCCTCTCTCAACACTAGTAGCTACGGCCCCATACTTACCTCTCAGAGCCTCCATATCAGGCCACTTGTGCTTACAACAGTATTTGCTTTTCTTTGCTTCAGAAAATCACAGCCAGATAATGACACAGAAAGCAGTTTCTGAGAAGCTGGACACTAACATCACGTTCATAACACTTCCTGTTCAACACAAAGCAGAAAGTGGTCTTTTACTTAAAGTTGAGCAGTGCCTTCATGAGACAGCGATACCATCTAGCATAATGAGACAGCCAGTCTTGGTGGAGAGGACCTGATGTAGGTGGCCCTTTAGCTGGTGGTAACCACAAATCGGTGTAAATGGCTGAGATCCAAGAGTATAATTTGAATGTTCTTCCCCCACAGTGCATGAGGAAAAATAGTTTGTGGGGTTTTTTTCAGCAATACTTCTTGTTAACATTCACACCAATGAAGATTTACTTTGAACTAAAAAAATTTGAAGGTTTTGCCACTAAAAGTGATAAATGTTTGGGGAAATACATGCATTTAAGGTGATTATACAATGTATGCATATATTAAAACATACAAACTACTCCATTAATGTATAGTGGGGGGGGGCAGGGTGTGTGTGTGTGTGTGTGTGTGTGTGTGTGTGTGTGTGTCAGTTAAAACAAAGGGAGCTAGGTCAGTTGGTAAAGTGCACTGCCCCGTGTAACCCAGGCTTGGTGCCATGCACTTCAATCCCAGCATGCACTGCAATCCCAGCATGTACTATGTACTTGAACCCAATTAACGCTATTTAAATTGATCCTGGTGGCACATGGGTTGTTTTGCTACCCACCCCAATGTTTTGGGTTCTCGAAAGAAACACACACACATACACACACAAAACCTTTATATTTGGATATGTCTTAGACAGCTCAATGGCTGAGCCACTTCTTAACCTCCTTGTAACTGATGTACCCTCTGATATTCCCAAGTAATTGTTTATTAAAATCTGCATTCCATCTTTGCTGTCTTGGACCCAGATCTTTCTCTGTATATGAGTAGAATTGATATCTTTTCTTATTTAACTTAAATCTTATTTACTCTATAAGCCTATTCTCAGGCTGACAGTGTTATATGCCAGGTTAAGGTATCTCAGAATTCCTGTGGAACCCATGTTCAAAGAACCCAATTGTTTGCCATGGTATAGACTTTTAAAATTTCCTTTAAAGCAATTACCATTATTTCTCCTTTCTATCCTTAAAAGCAATTAAATGATTTTTTTATTTATTTTCTCTTTTGTGGATTAATATCTCTGGGTGTATATATATTATATCACCTTTCTTTTTATATGAATTGAATTAATATCCTTGACTATTTAACTTCAGTTAAATTCCTTCTATTTACTGTATAAACCTATTCTCAGGCTGACAGTGTCATATGCCAGGATAAGCAATCCCAGAATTCTTGTGCAGCCCACATTCAGAGAACCCAATTGTTTATGAAGCATTGACTTCCTAAAATTTTATTGTATCTAATCTCTTTACTTGATTGTAGGAGGCAAACAGCCTCTACAGTCTGTCTCTCTCTGCCTTCTGAGCAGCCTGTCTCCTTGTACAGCAGGGGCTGCCAGCACCTCTAAGCTCAGTCTCTCTGAGGCTGCTTAGAAGCCTTTGAGAAGAGCTCAGGCTGGATTCTAAGCCTACCACCCCAGTTGCTTGGGTCAGCTTGGGGGATAAAGCTGAGTCCTAGCTTACAGCATGAACCCCAAATTATGTGCACCACTTTAGCATGCCTTTTGTCCTAGTCCCAAACCCACGAAGCTTGGACAGAAACCACACACCCCTGCTAAGAAACCAATTCTCCCCACCTCCTCATCTTAAGGCATGGCACTTTTTTTCCATTTGGGAATCTCCAGTTATTTTTAATCGTGAGTTGAAGCCCCACTTTGGGCGCCATTCATAGTTGAACCCAATTAATGCCATTCAAATTGATCCCAATGGTGGTGGTGCGCATTCTTCCTTCTTCGCTACCCACCCTAATGTTTTGGGTGTGTGTTCGTTCTCTCTCTCTCTCTCTCTCTCTCTCTCTCTCTCTCTCTCTCTCTCTCTAACACACACACACAGCATTTATCTTTGGATATGTTGTAAACAGCTCAATGACTGGGCCACTTCTTAACCTTCATGTGACTGATACACTCTCCTCTAATATTCCTGAGTTATTACTTACTAAAATCTATATTCCATGCTTGCTGCCCCTGACCCAGACCCACAGCCCCCTCATCGGCATTCCATGGCACTTACATGATGACTGTCTGTCTTCTGCAGCTCTCAGGCCTGGTGTCTCTCTTCCTTCCCCTCCATGGCAGCCAATCTCTCCCTCCTCCTCAGTCCCTTGCCTGGGAATCCTAAAAGTCCCACCTCTGTCTCCATGCCCAGCTATTGGCTGCCGGCAACTTTATTTACTAATCTAAACCAACTAGGGGCAGGGGCCCTCAGTGTCTTATATGTGGATTCTCTTGCAATTTTAGGTACCATATTATTATACAAACGACATTAGACCAAATCCACAGCACACTGTAACCCCAGCACTAGGGAAGCAGTGACAGGTAGTCCCCAGGGCTCATTGGCTTAAGTGTAGCCTAATCAACAAGTCCCAGATGCTAATGAGAGACCCTGTCTCAGAACTAAGACAGCTTCTGAGAAACAATACCTCTGGGTCATATATGTGAACATGATCCCACATACACGAATATTCACACTCCCACACGTCAAAAGAAGAGTCAATAATGAAATTAAATAAGTAAGTGTAAAATTAGGCCGAGGAGGGTAAAGTGCTCACCTTACAAACAAAAAGCCAGGTGTGGCACACACCTGTCACCTTAGTGCTAGCAAGGTGGAGACAGAACAGTGATCCCTGAGGAGGCCCCATTGACCTCATGTGTGTGGTTGCACAGATTATACATATTAGTGATTAGCTTTCAGTCACCATAATGAATGTGTCACATTTAACCAAGAATGATCTACTCCATGTTTCCTGTGTCTTTCGTCCTGTCTGTGTGACCTGAGTCCCTATGTGTGTCTGCCTGGTGTATGCCCATGTGTGATGTCTGTGCCCACAGAGATCCTCACTCTTTATTGAACAGTGTCTTAGTCAGGGTTTCTACTGCTATGAAGAGACACCATGACCATGGCAATTATAATGGAAAACATTTCATTGAGGCTGGCTTCCAGTTCAGAGGTTGAGTCCATTACTGTCATGGTGGCATGCAGGCAGACATGGAGAAGGAGCTGAGGGTTCTCTGTCAGGATCAGCAGGCAGCAAGCAGGTAGGGAAACTGAGCTCCTAGGCCTGGCTTGACCATCTGAAACCTCAAAGCCAGCCTCCACTGACAAACTTTCTCCAATAAGGCCACAGCTCCTAAGAATGCTTCTCCCTATGGGGCTGTGGGGAACATTTTCATTCAAACCACCACAAACTGCATAGAAAACATCATGTGCGGAAGGGGGGAACACTTTGTAGAAATCTATAACAATTTTACGAGGGATTAAGTTACTGGCCCCAACTGATCACAAGTGACCCTGATAATAAACCCTGTTTCTCAGCCAGTATCCATAAATAGTTACTTTCAGATTCTGTGTTTGCTGCTTTCAGCTAATGCATTATTCTGGGTCAGGGGCAAGAAAGAAACTAACTCAAGATTGCAGCTCTGCATTAGTTTAGGTTGTAAATGTTGATTGCTGATTTCGTGGGAAACCCAAGGCAATATTGGTTGTTATATTTTTCTCTTAAACTAAGTAAAAACAGTTTGAGTATATAGTAAGCTAGCAATCTTAAGTGACTTCCAAATGTATTATTAACTTTGGCTATTAGCAGAAACTCCCATCTTGGAATATAAGAGGTATTTCAGAATATTGTATATTCATACTTAGCCAATGAAAGAGCTGTCTCAAAAATAAATAAATAAATAAATAAAAAGGAATGACAGCTGAGGTTGCCCTCTGCACGCACACATAAACAAACACACACATACACATAAGCACAGTCTCTCTAAAGTAAGAAAAGTTTCTAAAAAGAAGATTTGTATATGTGAAGATTGTTTCTCCAGTGTTGATTTTAGTTGCATTTCTAGATGCATGCAATCAATAAAAGGGCTGCATATTGAAGCTATGGTCCATTTTCTCCTCTCTCTTAGGCCGTTATTCGTAACTTGGGTGGTATCCCAATTATTGCAAGCAGAATCAACTCCCTGAACCCAAGTATTAAAGAGAAAGCTTTAATTGCACTAAGTAACCTGAGTGTGAATGTTGAAAATCAGCCTAGGATAAGGGTAAGTTATCTGGAATAAAAATGCATCAAGTGTCTATATAAAAGAGAAAGTGACTCAGGTAGGCAGTGAAGCGAACAGTCCTCTGTAACCTCATGGGCAACAACTACCTGTAAAGAAACTGACTGATTGCTACGATCTTGTGCACTGTGTAAAGGTTCTCTTTGCATTATTCAGATGTTGATTTCTGTACTAGCAGAGAGTAGGACTTTGGTACTATTATTTTAATGAAGCATCATCTGTCTTGGTGTTTTGTAAACATTCTTCTCCTTCGCCTGCCTCAGCTTTAATAAAGAGCCGAGGGTCTGTAGCAGGGCAGGAGAGGATAGGAAGGACACTGGGTTAGAGATAGGAACTCTGGGAAAGATTCAGGCACAGGGATTCACCAGCCAGACACAGAGGAGGTCGGTCATACTGAGAGGTCATACTAAGAGGTAACAGGCCACTTGGCCTAGAATAAATGGGATAATTAAGTAAGATGAGCTAGCTGGGAGGTAGCCTTGCTATGGCCCAAGCTTTCATAAATAATAAGTCTGTGTCATTACTGGGAGCTGGCAGGTCTAGACAGTCCGTCCATGGAAACTAGAACAGCACTATCTCCTAGGTAGATTTCCATTTAATTCAGGAGTACTAAAAACAGTGATGCTGGGCGGTGGTGGCACACGCCTTTAATCCCAGCACTTGGGAGGCAGAGGCAGGCGGATCTCTGAGTTCGAGAGTTCGAGGCTAGCCTGGTCTACAGAGTGAGTTCCAGGACAGCCAGGGCTACACACAGAGAAACCCTGTCTCGAGAAAACCAAAAAAATAAAAAAAATAAAAATAAATAAAAAATAAAAACAGTGACGCCAGATATACAGAGCACACCAGCACACCAGCACACCAGCAGAAAGACTCAGGGAAACAAGAAACCAAGCAAACACAAATCAGTGTTTTAAACTTGGTTTTGTGGAACAGAATAGAGACACAGATGGGTGTTATTTTTGGTCTAAGTAAGGAGAGGAGGAGTGAGCCCTTCTTAAGGTCATGAGGAGAAAACAAATCCGAAGGAGAGTGGGTACCAGATGAAGATAAGCAACTGATGGGTGTCGATTGTTACACTCAGACATCCAGTCCACCTTCGTAGGTTCCACCCTCACCATCAGCCAGGAGTCACAGTAAAACTATGACCAAAGAGAAACAGGTGGCTCCTAAGTGTAATTTAGAACTTAAACATTTGATCTCTGCATCCTTACTGTCACGTGGCCACATCTATGGTAGCATGGGTGCATTTGGAGTTTCTCATAAACATTAATGATGTATATTGGACAGTTAGTTGATCATTTCTTGGTGCCTGAAATTAGGAATATTTTCTTGCATTTTATAGTTTTTGATGACATCCAGATTTAGTAATAATTTTTCCAACCCGGAAACTCATGCATGAGATATAAGTACTCCCAAATACCTCATTGCATGTCCTCAGTGGAGGTCGATAGTAGTGTGGCGAATACCTCATTGCATGTCCTCAGTGGAGTTCGTTAGTAGTGTGGCATCACACACACACATAAGCACATGTGCTCACCTCACTACTTAAGAGCAGTCTTGAGCTAAGTTTAGGCCTTTGGTCTCGGCACAATGCCAGGTTATTAACAAAGACAGCTTTAAATAAAATGGTCACCGAAGTTGGAGGGCCAGACCCAAATGCCATCTTTTCTGAAGAACTCACTCATCCCGAGCAGTCAAACCTACTCTGTTGTACAGAACAGTAGCCACTTAGTAAAGGGTTCTGGATAGCTGGAGTTGCTCAGTGTTTCTCTCCCACTTTCAGATGTATGTCCGTCAAGTCTGTGAGGAAGTGCTTGCTGATTCCCTGAACTCTGCCGTGCAACTGGCTGGACTGAGGCTGCTGACAAACATGATGGTCACCAATGAATACCAGTACCTGCTCGGCAGCTACATCAGTGGCCTGTTCCATCTGCTGTCTGTCGGAAACGGAAGCACCAAGGTGGGACTAGGAAGTGTGGCAGTCAGTTTTGAAAAGCTGTTGCATCAGTCTTACTGAGATTGACTTTCTGGTCCTTGTATGGTGGCATGGACCTTTAATCTCAGTTCTCTCAAGGCAGGCAGATTTCTGTGAGTTGGAGGTCTGCTTAGTCTAAGTAATGAGTTCCAGAGAGGAAAAAAAAAAGGATATGAAATGCCAGACCATATTTCGACCCTGTGATTTCCTTATGAAAAGATAGTGGTGTTTTTAATCCCAGCAGAGCAGGTAGATCTGTGTGAGTTCACAGTCAGCCTGGTCCATATCGCATATCCCAACAGGCAGGACTACATAGAAAAACCCTGTGTCAAAAAGAAAAAATAGTCCACTTAAAGTTTATAAAAATACTTACACAAGCCCAAGAAAGTGTATTACTTTTATCGCTAACATTGAATTGCAGAATCCATGTGTGGAGATCTTGTGCTGTGATTTTTGCCTCAGGCCATTTTCTGAGAATCAGTAAAATCATGTTCTTCTGGAATCCCTGGCATCATTACCCAGAAATAGGAAGTAAAAGAATTCTGAGAAACAGTGACAGGAAGCTGTAGCTTATGATAGACCAGTTTCTAAGATTAGCATACGAAGTAATGGGTTCCATTGATTTCTTTTTTATATGTGGTTTGTATTTGTTTTATATATGGCTTGTTTTCTTCCTCCCCTCCCCAGCCCTGCGTGTCCCACTTAGCCTTCTCCTCCCCAGTGTTCCTCTCCCTTTTCATGTCACATGCAGCTTATTGCCATTATCGTCATCGTCATTGTTATTATTACATTGATGTTTAGGAAGGGAGGCACATATCAAGGTCAGATGACAACTCACAGGAGTCAGTTCTCTCCTTCCGACATGCAGTCCAGTGATTGAACTGTCAAGGTTCTCAGGCTTGGTGGCAGGCCCTTTGCCCACTCAGCCTCTTACCAGCCCTGTTTTATTTTTTTAAAAAAGGTTTTATTTTTTATTTTTTTATTGGTATATAAGTGTTTATGGTAGGTGTGTATGTGTGGTGGATGTGTGTTGTGTGTGTGTTTATGGTGGATGTGTGGATGTGATGGATGTGTTTATGGTAGATGGATGTGTGTATTTATGATGGATGTGTGTATGTGTGTGTGTTGCTGGTGGGTGTGTGTGTGTTGATGGTGGGTGTGTGTGTGTCTTTATGGTAGGTGTGTGTTTATAGTAGATTGTGTGTGTGTGTTTATGGTAAATGTATGTTTATGGTGGATGTGTGTCTGTGTTTATGGTAGATTGTGTGTATTTACGGTGGGTGTCTGTGTTTATGGTGGATGTGTGTGTGTATGTGTTTATGGTGTGTGTGTGTTTTATGGTGGATGTGTGTATGTGTGTGTGTGTGTGTGTTTATGGTGGGTGTGTGTTTATGGTAGATGTCTGTGTTTATGGTAGGTGTCTGTGTGTTATGGTAGGTTGTGTGTGTGTGTGTGTGTGTGTGTGTGTGTGTGTGTATGGTGGAAGTGTGGCATAAAGCATACGTGGAAGTTAGAGGGGCAGCTTTGTGGAATCAGTTTTCTCTTTCAGCCTGTACATGGATTTTTGGAGGATCAAACTCCTGGGCTGGCCTCAGTCTCACTCTGTAGCAGAGGCTGACTTTGGGCTTCTTATCTTCCCGGTACTTCTGAGTGCTGGAGTCACAGGCATACACTGCCTTGCCTGGTTTTATATTGTCCTGAAGAGGGAACCCAGGCATGTACTCCACAGCTGTACTATGTCCCCAGCCCTCCATTACCCTCGTCACAAAATGGTTTGGTTCAGACATTATCTGTTGAAATCTCCTTACACCACAGCCATGTAGTACTAAGTGAAGGGGATCAGATGCACGAAGGCTTCCTTCGTCCAGTTGTACAAATGTTGGAGGCAGCAGAGGTAAAGCTGGCCGCTAAGGCCTCAGGAGACACCTCAGGAAGTCTGAGTAAATCTCTTGTGTTAAAGTCCATTCTTTTTGCTGTGTTTTTAAAGCACACTGTAGTATGTAGATTGGCTAGTTTGTAATGGTAAACTTGTATTCTTGCAGACAATTGAAAGCAAAATGCATGGGTATTTGATTGTACCAGATGTGATTTTATTTTTAAATTTTATTTATTATCTGCATATATGATGGGAAAAGGGTATGTTGCCAAGTGTGTACATGGAAATCAGGGGACAACTTTGGTTTTCTTTTAAGATTTATTTGTTTATGTATACGGGTGTGTTTTGTTGACACGTACATCTGCATAGTAGAAGAGGGCATCCGCTCCCATTACATGGTGAGCCACCGTGTGGTGCTGGGAAGTGAACTCAGGACCTCTGGAAGAGCAGCCGTGCTCTTAACCACTGAGCCATCTCTTCAGCTGGGCACGTTATATCTTAGACTGGGATTGCATCATGCCAGCTGAGATGTCCCAGTCGCTCTCTGGAGGGCACCGAAAGGTCAGAAGTCACTCTGGCTGTCCTAAGAATCCATAATTTCCCTAGAAACACCTGCCTGAAAAAACAGGATCCTGCCTAAACAGGTTGGCAGGGTCCCCACTTTGAGTCTAGATGGGCCTCTAGCATCAGGCGTTTGTCTTTACCTTGTTCTCTTTTGCACAGCTTGACATTTTACCATGACCATGTGTTCACTTTACTAAACTTAGAAGATGGTAAAAATGAGATTAAGCAAAGCTTTACCATCTTCACTTTAATAGTTAAGTTCATATGTGACCAAAGGAGTTGTAGGCATACAGTATTATGTAAATGTTCTAGGCCCAAGGTAGACCTTGGTAGAATGGTGTTTGCCTTGTCCAGGGGACTATAGGTCTGATCCCTATCACCCTCTCCCCCAAAGTTCTATGGTCAGTATCTATTGCCTGTTTAATACGTTATAAAAATGTGCATTCTGGAGCCTTCCTGAGTCTAGTGAGAAGTGATGTTATTTCTTCTTGGCTTTAGTACCCTCCTTCTCCTCCCTTTAATTTCTGCTGTCTTGTAAAAAATGTAGGCTAGTGTTTTACAAACAGATATCCTGGGGCTGGGGCTCAGCACTTAATAGCATGTGTTGCCCTGGCAAAGGACCCAGTCTTGGTTCCAAATACCCACATAACTATTGGTAACTCCAGTTCCAGAGGCTCCAGTGCCCTCTTCTGATCTCTGCAGGCATTGCATACACATGGTGCATATACGTATATACAGTCAAAAAAATTCCTATACATAAAATAAGTCTAAACATTTAAAGACATATTATTATTACTAATTTTTCAGAGATAAGAATGCTAGAATTTTAATTAGGTATTAAATCATTTTAATATCACTTCCCATTTAAATGATCATAAAACATTTTTCACATTTCATCTGAACCTCCAAGATTCATAATAAACTAGTAGAAAAAAAATGATCCTAGTGTTTAGTCATGGTGACCAAACTGTTCCAGAACTGTAACAACTCTCATGAGAACTGAACTAGGCTTTGAGAGATTTCTGTTGTTTCAGAGACAGAGTCTCCTTCCCAGCACTCATAACGAAGAGATTTAAGAGCTGGAGAGATGGTTCTATGTGTGAAGTATTTGTTGTGCAGACATGAGATCAGGAGTTCTGGTCCCAGTGCCCTGGAAATGTGGTGTGGGTGGCCTGCCTGTAACCCCAGCACAGGGGGTGTGAGGTAGGGTCCCTAAAACAAGGTGGCCAGACTAGCTAAACGGTGAATTCTGGGTTCAAGTGAGGACCACTTTTCAGGGAAGAGTAGACAAGGAGACTCTGGCCTTCCCATGCATATACATGTGACCATGTGTCCACACATACATGTGACCATGTATGTACACATGTACAAACAGGAATAAAAAGAATGATTTAACACACAGCAGACGTACAGTATAGAGAAGACTTTTGCTAAGTTCTTCCTGTCTCCCCAGCAGTTGACCCAGAAAGTGAGGTTTAGATGGCACTGAGTGAGGAGGGCCTCTCTGACAGAGGTGCCGATCGCTAGAGGAACTGAGCAGACTTCAGGGAGAGGACGAAGCTAGGCCTTGAGGTGCAGACAGGAATTTCCTGGGCAGTGGGGTGAGAGGATGGCATCTTAGAAAGGTCATGCTTGCTGATGTATTCTTTTGGCAGGTTCAGGTTTTGAAGCTGCTTTTGAATATGTCCGAGAATCCAGCCATGACAGAAACACTACTGAGTGCCCAAGTAAGTAGATTACCACCTACTTGGTTCATAAAAGCACACATACATAGATTACCTACCTGCTTTGTAAATGTACACATACTGAGATTACCTACCCGCTTTGTAAATGTACACATACTGAGATTACCTACCCGCTTTGTAAATGTACACATACATAGATTTCGACAAATAGATCTGGAAAGGTTTGCCTAAAAACATTCACAGGAATTATTTCTGAAGATGAGTATTAAGCATATTTTGTTTTTTTCAAACTTTTCTGTGGCACCAGTGAACTTTCCATCTCTGCCCAATTTGCAGTATATTTCTGTCAATGCATTTTAAAATTTGGTTTGTCTTATGCACATGTACCTCAGCATTTGCTGAAACAACAGTGTTGAGTCTCCTGTGTGTGCTCCATGCTGAGCTGAATGCTGGCACTAGGAAGCTCAATGTTTCCATGGAACTTAGGCGAAGCAACCATGTTAACAAACTAGCAAGATTGCTGGAAACATGTAACAAATCGTTGAAACAGTCCCTGTGCTATGAAGAAGTCCAAGCTCTGTGGGGGTGACTCGAAATTCTCTACCTGCAGAAATAGAGCCACCTGCTCCCCCATTCACCGAACTGTGTGTAAGCAATAATACTGATTACTGATGAGTTCTTACAAAACTGGCTAGATCCTAAAATGGTTGGTTTCCCAAATGGCTACACTCTGAGGTTCCAAAGAAATCTTAGTTTTTCGGCTAACAAAACCTCATTTTCACTTGTAACATCGAATAAAAATTACAGGTGTGTAAGTTAGGGGTTGAGGTTGCTTGCCTGGGGTCAGACTTTTACAGTGTTAACTAGTGGATGCTGTTTTAAAATACGACAATGACACTGGTTCCTCTTTCAGGTGGATTCTTCATTCCTTTCCCTGTATGACGGCCAAATGGCAAATGAGATTCTTCTTCGGGCTCTTACGATGTTTCAGAATATAAATAATTGCCTCAAAGTGGAAGGCCAGTTAGCTAATCGGCTTCATTTTGCTGGAGGGTCATTGTTTTTCCTGTTATATGGAGAAGAATGTGCCCAGAAAATGAAAGCTTTGACTCGCCATCACGATGTGGATGTGAAAAAGAAGGCTTTAGCAATAAAGACGACGTTCTGATTGTTGCACCGGTTTCACCAGAGAATCAAAGAGTAAATGCAGTCTTACGTCAGCTCACCGGAACTTACACCTTCCTTTAAAGGGATCTTCCAGCTGACGGAGTTAAACAGTAAACGTCATTGCGAGCAGCTCTAATCCAACATGATGCTCAAATGTCAGAATTTCAGAGTAGTTCAGATTTGGGGGTTGGGGACTGAGTGTAGTCTGGAACCTTCAGAGGATGTGAATCACTTCTGGGGCCAACGTCTAGTTACGATCGTGGACAGATTGGAAGGAATCTACTGCTATTAAATGACTATGAGGGGTTGCACTGAAGATACTTACTGAGTGTGTACTGGTTTCCTGACGTGAACAGTGGCCTTTCTCTGTGCAATCCTCACTTCTCGGAGTGACTTGCAGTTGCTCATGAGACAGAGTTAGGTACAGAGTTGAAGACTGGAACTGCCACAGCAAGGGCCTTGTTCCTCAAAGCAGTGAATACTGCAAGCTCCAGTCCACCCCCAAACCCCACTGTACTGCTTGCAAGTCTGAGTTGATCGTGAGACTCTGCCCACAGCATTTCTCATCAGTAAGACTCTACTTCCATTTACAGGGCAAGGTTTTCTTATTGCTTACCCCCGTGTGTAAGATACTGGAGAGCAATTCAAGTTTCCACCCATAGGCAGCCAGGCAGACCTAGCAGCAGCCCTTTAAAAATGAGCTGCCTAGGCCAGGCGGTGGTGGCGCACGCCTTTAATCCCAGCACTTGGGAGGCAGAGGCAGGCGGATTTCTGAGTTTGAGAGTTCGAGGCTAGCCTGGTCTACCAAGTGAGTTTTAGGACAGCCAGGGCTACACAGAGAAACCCTGTCTTGAAAAACCAAACCAAAAAAAAAAAAAAAAAAATGAGCGGCCTGATGAGTCAGACCGGATGGATGAAGAAATACACCCATGAAATGGTTGTTTTAAAAGCATGTTGTGAAACAATGTATTAGGGTCTTTTTTTTTTTCTCTTAATAACAGAACATTTCTAGAATGATACGTAAAACTTCTGGGCATGAGACTGGGACCTGGATACATGGATTTCTTTGTGTACCTGTTTCTATTGTTTGGATGTGTACTGAGCATAAATTGTGTAATTTTTTTTAATAAAACAGAAAAATGCATGGTGTACATAACTTCCTACTGACATTATTTTACTAAATTTCCTCACATTTTAGTTGACTAAAATTAGAATACATAAATTTTTTTTAAAAATTTCTCCAATTTGTTTTGTGTGTTTTGCCTGAACACATGTATGTAAAGTCAGAAGAAGGCATTGCAACTAGAGTAGGATGTGGTTGTGAGCCACCGTGTGGGTGATGGGACCTGAACCCAAGTGCTAGTGCTTCTAACCACTGAGCCAGTTCTCTAAGCCCCTATAAACATTTCAGCTATCTTCAAGTACTTTTATAATATTTATTTTATTTAGAAGATAGATTAGATTAGGCAGTTTTTACAATGTATATTAGACTAACAAGAGTAGAATTTTTTCAAAATTTATCTTCACTTTACACATACATCCTTTGAAATGCAGATTAGAAAAATAAAGTGAAAACCATTCAATAGTGTGGTTGTGTTAGAGAGATGTGATGTATTTCACACTGAATGGAACTCACATGTAAACAGAAACAAACAAAAACCATGAGGAGGCCTAAAAAAACTAGGCAGGCCCAATTCATTCTGGGGACCAGAACACAAATCACATGGAAGGCCTCAAACAGTACATGTGGGCACAAAAGCAATGCCAAGGCCGTTCATGGAGAAATACTTAAGTTACATCAGTTGCTTAAGAGAATTCTCAGTATGGCTTACAGTAGTAGCACATCCGTTGCAGTGGTACCCAGTGGAGTGGTGTTCCCCAAGGCTGGCACCCACGGCCCTATGGTCTGGAATCATGTCCAATTGCAGTGGGGAGCTAACGCTGACCTGGTTTTCCTGAAGCAGACTTTAAATGGCATCTTGTGCTTTAGTGCCTCTAAGCCACACTCACTATACACAGTGTTTCAGCACACATTTCCCCTTGACTGACGGGAACATTTTATATAAAAAAACTACATTCTGACAATCACTCGTATTGGCTGTTCCCCTCTAAAGTCACAAGAGGGTGAGGTGTCGGCCTCCAGTTTGGTGTCTGGGCAGGAATAATACATCATGGGAAGTTTGCTCTTCAGCTGTTTACTGTGCCTCTCTGCATCAGAGTGATATCTTAAGTTTTCTCCCTTAGGTTTCTAAAGTGCTTTAAAAACAATGATTCTCTGCCTGGAGGTAGGTTAACATTGTCCTCTTGTACATGGTGATATTGAGTCTGAATATAAGCTACGTGTTTGGGAGTAATTAAGTCCATGATGGAATGGACGAAATTCTGATGAGAGGCCAAGGTGGCATGCATCACCCATGCAAATGCATCAAATTATTGAGTACTCCCTATATAATATTTTATATATATATATATATATATATATATATATATATATATATATATATATATATATATAAAACTTG